TTTGGTATATTTTGGTTTTTAGAAGCCCAAATTTGATAGTTGAAATTGTTCTAATTCAACGCCACAATTCAGCACCCAAAGTTCAGATATAAAAAATGCCACATTTTTTATAATTGGTATCATATGGCTTTGAAACTTTGTAAACTGTTTTATAATACACTAAGCTTAAATCATGCCAAGTTTTATTAGAATTGGTCAAGTTTTAGATCCCTAATAGGTGAATTCAGGAAATATTGAATTTGTACTTTGACAACTTCCCTGAATGATCTATTGGTATTAATTTGTCAAACTACATGAGAATAAATGATTTCCACTTTTATTTGATAGAAATTTTGTAAAAAAGTGACATTTCAGCCTACATGCCCAAAATTGAACTTTTTCAGTTGTTTCAATATTTTACAAAAGTAGCATGCTTACTTTCTCTCTGACAGATTTTTCTGGTTTTCTATTTGTGTTTGTGGTATCTAATGTAGATGTTTAACTCATTTTTGAACACTGAACACAAAAAAAAGTAGATAAAAATCAGAATAAGAGTGCAAAATGTGCTGCTTTAATGGTCTTAGTCTAACCGTCAGTATGAAGCAAGTGAAAAATGAGGTTCTATGCACATACAAGTTGAATTCCTTTTAGCAGATTTCACTGAATCTGTATCAAAAGCACTTATTACTGGTTGTTTGACCTTGTCTGTTTCACAGGCTTCCTTTATTTTCTTTTGTTTGATAGCTAGTGGTTAAAATATTGGCCTTTTGAGGCTGAAATTTCATGCCGGTTTTAAAAAGTAAAGTAAATAACTTTGCATCAAATCATACTGTCTACATATATAGTTGAAAGTGACAGTCATGTTACATCCAGGCTCCATGTTTTATCATATCTAAACAAAGATTTGAGCAAAAAGAAGCATATCTCTATCTACCATATCATTTATTTGCTTTTTAATATGCAAATGTGGGGAACGACCTAAATTGACAACCTGTTTTTTTAAGCTTGACATTGCTGAAGACCATTTTATTCACATGTGTTATGCTATTTGAAACTTATATTTCCATTAAAAGTACATTTATAACATGTAAAAGGTGTTTTTATAACTTAACAACTTCAGAAAATTGTGGTAAGTGAAAAATATTACATTTCATATAAGGCCTCGATTCATTTGAAAACGTCTATTTTTTGGCACAGGCTCATATAAAATTTACTTCTGGCCATTTTTTATAAGTCTGAAACATGAAGTATGCTATCTGTTGCTTTTAATAGGTGATAACTTATACATAGAAACATTAAAAAATGTAAGTTTTGGTATATTTTGGTTTTTAGAAGCCCAAATTTGATAGTTGAAATTGTTCTAATTCAACGCCACAATTCAGCACCCAAAGTTCAGATATAAAAAATGCCACATTTTTTATAATTGGTATCATATGGCTTTGAAACTTTGTAAACTGTTTTATAATACACTAAGCTTAAATCATGCCAAGTTTTATTAGAATTGGTCAAGTTTTAGATCCCTAATAGGCCCAAGACCACAATTAATGATCCCGCTTTTCGTTGTCCACGAATATAGTTCCTTTTAATTAGAGTGTATTTTTTCTTAATTTTTTTTCTTTCCCTTCCTCACTCATTTCTTAGTTTTTTTTGGGTGGAAATAAAAGAAGAGAGGTGAAATAATCTTTTGGATGTTGTATTTTAACTGATTTTGATATGGAAAGAGTGATTAGGCTAGGTGCAAAAAGGTGATATTTACAGTTTTCGGAACATCTCTTGACTTGTCCATAGGGGTATGGATGTGTATTGGCTAAATTTGTAAGAGTCATTGGTTCAATCTTTCTGAATTTTGGATATATTTTTGGACTAGTACTATACATTATACACACAAAAGATTTGATAAAAATGCAAGGTGCAATTTTTTTAATGAAACAAAACGTTATAAAGAACTAATAGGGGAATTTAATTGTGGTCTGTGGCCTAAGAGGTGAATTCAGGAAATATTGAATTTGTACTTTGACAACTTCCCTGAATGATCTATTGGTATTAATTTGTCAAACTACATGAGAATAAATGATTTCCACTTTTATTTGATAGAAATTTTGTAAAAAAGTGACATTTCAGCCTACATGCCCAAAATTGAACTTTTTCAGTTGTTTCAATATTTTTACAAAAGTAGCATGCTTACTTTCTCTCTGACAGATTTTTCTGGTTTTCTATTTGTGTTTGTGGTATCTAATGTAGATGTTTAACTCATTTTTGAACACTGAACACAAAAAAAAGTAGATAAAAATCAGAATAAGAGTGCAAAATGTGCTGCTTTAATGGTCTTAGTCTAACCGTCAGTATGAAGCAAGTGAAAAATGAGGTTCTATGCACATAAAAGTTGAATTCCTTTTAGCAGATTTCACTGAATCTGTATCAAAAGCACTTATTACTGGTTGTTTGACCTTGTCTGTTTCACAGGCTTCCTTTATTTTCTTTTGTTTGATAGCTAGTGGTTAAAATATTGGCCTTTTGAGGCTGAAATTTCATGCCGGTTTTAAAAAGTAAAGTAAATAACTTTGCATCAAATCATACTGTCTACATATATAGTTGAAAGTGACAGTCATGTTACATCCAGGCTCCATGTTTTATCATATCTAAACAAAGATTTGAGCAAAAAGAAGCATATCTCTATCTACCATATCATTTATTTGCTTTTTAATATGCAAATGTGGGGAACGACCTAAATTGACAATCTGTTTTTTTAAGCTTGACATTGCTGAAGACCATTTTATTCACATGTGTTATGCTATTTGAAACTTATATTTCCATTAAAAGTACATTTATAACATGTAAAAGGTGTTTTTATAACTTAACAACTTCAGAAAATTGTGGTAAGTGAAAAATATTACATTTCATATAAGGCCTCGATTCATTTGAAAACGTCTATTTTTTGGCACAGGCTCATATAAAATTTACTTCTGGCCATTTTTTATAAGTCTGAAACATGAAGTATGCTATCTGTTGCTTTTAATAGGTGATAACTTATACATAGAAACATTAAAAAATGTAAGTTTTGGTATATTTTGGTTTTTAGAAGCCCAAATTTGATAGTTGAAATTGTTCTAATTCAACGCCACAATTCAGCACCCAAAGTTCAGATATAAAAAATGCCACATTTTTTATAATTGGTATCATATGGCTTTGAAACTTTGTAAACTGTTTTATAATACACTAAGCTTAAATCATGCCAAGTTTTATTAGAATTGGTCAAGTTTTAGATCCCTAATAGGCCCAAGACCACAATTAATGATCCCGCTTTTCGTTGTCCACGGATATAGTTCCTTTTAATTAGAGTGTATTTTTTCTTAATTTTTTTTCTTTCCCTTCCTCACTCATTTCTTAGTTTTTTTTGGGTGGAAATAAAAGAAGAGAGGTGAAATAATCTTTTGGATGTTGTATTTTAACTGATTTTGATATGGAAAGAGTGATTAGGCTAGGTGCAAAAAGGTGATATTTACAGTTTTCGGAACATCTCTTGACTTGTCCATAGGGGTATGGATGTGTATTGGCTAAATTTGTAAGAGTCATTGGTTCAATCTTTCTGAATTTTGGATATATTTTTGGACTAGTACTATACATTATACACACAAAAGATTTGACAAAAATGCAAGGTGCAATTTTTTTAATGAAACAAAACGTTATAAAGAACTAATAGGGGAATTTAATTGTGGTCTGTGGCCTATTATTTAAAGTACCGAAAAATTAACATTAATTTAAAAATGAACCATTCTTGCATGCTGACCTACTTAATAATGTGCGCCTACAGACAATTATAAGAACTTAATGTAACAACAGTTCTTTTGCTCTATACATAATGACAAAACCTATTGATAAATGTCGCTATAGACACCCGTGTATTCGCGAAAACTGCATGTTGTCCTCTGAATGTCTTTTGGATATTTTTGTCGTTTGGTTGCTGTTTCATTGATGTATAATCAACATCTATTATATTTATCAACAAATATTTACACCATTATTTCGGTCTTGCCTTTTTCGAATCATTATTTTAAAGTTTGAGATAACCACATTACCAGTTCAACCATGATACATGTAAATGTTAATGTAAAAATAAGAAGATGCGGTGTGATTGCCAATGAGAAAAGTCTCCGACGGAGACCAGAATGACGCAGAAGCGAACAACTAAAGGTCACCGTACGGCCTTCAACAATGAGCAAATTCTATAAACAATAAACGAAAAGCAAATATTATATACAGCAATAAACGACAACCACTGAGTTACAGGCTGCTGGCTTTGGACAGGCAAATACAGTATGTTTCGGGGTTAAACATGTTTGTGGGCGTCCAACCCTCCCTCTAACCTGAAACAGTGGTGTAACGGCACAACATGAAAACAAACTATAAAAATCAGTTCAAACGGGCTTAACTCATCAGATCGATACAAGGCATACAAAGTACAGATCTCCAAAAGACTAAAAAACAATTGTATAGTATTTATTGATTTGTTCATAAATTGCACTAAGTGTAGGTGTCACCCTTCGGGTTTTGTCTGTTCGTTCATTTTACGATTTCTTCTACGTTTGGAGCAATTTCAGCTTACAATGTGGTTTGGACAATTGTCTATTACAGAACGATCTCTTCAATTTTTACATGTGCAGTCGTAAGTTACTATAATATGATAATAATTTGATGAATAAAAGACATTTATTATTGATTAAAGACATACAGGTCGATGGTAAAAAATAACTAGTTTACATAACCAATGGCAACATATCATCACACCGGCATGTAAAGATATAGCAACTCGAAATGAACTAGAAACCAATGCTGCACTAATTGAAGAAGGTAGTCGGTTTGTTTTTCAGGATATACTCATCGCATTGATCATGACACGTAGGAATTTTGGAGTAAGTTGTACTCAGAATTTAATCTAAAGAACGAGGAAAGGAGAACTATGAAAGCTATCATTTGGTTACTTTATATAAAAAATGATTCAAATTAAATGTACAGGTACTCACGATGACCGTCCATGTGGTAATTTTGGTAAGCCTTGACTTTAGCAATACATGCTGACTGCGTATGACATCCACCTGAGGCGCCGTGGTGGATGTACACGTGATTTGGGACTTTCGTTAGAAGAGAGTGTGCGTGTGTTGGACTACGAGCACCCCATCCAGCACGTGAGATAATGTTCGGACAGCCAGACGAAGATGATTGATGGGCTGCAACAAAAAAATATCTTCTACACTCTCATAAAAAACAAACATGGAAATGATTCTGCCATTTACTTTTAAAACATATAAATATAGTTAACAATGACATTATTTTTATATACATTTAATTTTTGAAAGAAGGTGTAAATACATTGCAATGATGAAAGTGTATATTTGTCACTTTACCGATCATGCAAATTAAATTATTCATATCCAATCGTTAGAAGGAACACAATAAGGTATTAACAACTGTTTTTGTTCTGAAGCTTATTTTAGACTATGACTTACTCTGACAAGTTTTGAAATTCAGCCAATTGATTGCAGCCCAAGCATCCTAAAATATTGAATAAAATTTAAGTTTACAGGTGTTCTTAAATCATCGGCTACTCGTGTATTTTCTACAATGCATCTATGGTAAACATGCAAACAAAAATTATTCTTGTAGGTTATGCCGCTACACAATTCCTATCATTAGTTTGTTTTCATTTGCATTCAAGTAAAACAATTTTTGAAGATAAAATCGAGGTCTTCTTTAACTTCAGCATGTGAACATCACATCTGAGTAAATGAAAAAATAGGAAAATTCCGTCGTATTACAATGGCAATCGGATACGCATACGAAAACATGCTGATAGAAAAAAAAACAATGGTTTTGATGGCAACTTGGAACACATATCCTTATGTATCTGTGGTAAGGATAGCCGCCACATGTAGTAGAGTGTGATTATGAGTATCATCTCGCATATGAGTTAATGTATTCTTTACTGGATGCATTGCAGATAATGTATTTAGACATAAGTGATTGGTGTTACTTATAAGATAACTTGAGAATACAGTATCATAATCTAAAATCGCAAATTATCGGTGTAGATTTTTAATAAATTTGGCAAGTTTTGTTACCATAATGCAATTTTATTTTTAACTTCTCCTTTTATTTTAAAAGTACAGAAAATCATTTTATTTATTTATAAGTTCAAAAGCAATATACTGGAGTAAATCTACTATTCTAATATATTAACTGTAAATCTATCGATTCTTTTATGTTGCAAGAAAACAAGTGCGTCTTTTTTTTTCTTTTTTTTTAGCTGAGCGTAATTATCATAGTAATGCACATTGCTTACAAAATATCAAAATACACGAAAACAAGGCAAAACATAATTTGTAACATTTACTATTGTTATTTTATTTTGGAAATACAAAATAATTAATCTGCTTTTTTAGATAAGCACAATCAATAATCTATCAATTGTTTTTTTATTTCTTCAATTTACGGTAATACGTTGAACTTACATGTCCATTATAGTCAATATTAGCCCATGTATATCCATTAGCTGTTTGTCTACCTCCTTTATCTGTGTGACATTCACCAGCAGGGATTGTTCCCATAATTCGATGCGTTGTTCCTGCTCCAGATCGAACATGCAAAGAGTCTGTTGCACACCCACACTGGGCTGCAGACGCATCATTTGTGAGGAAACAAGTAACGAGAACTGCTATGAAAATCCTTGAAAATAGATATAATTGAATAAGAGTAAACATTGAATTTTTAACCAATGTTTAATCAATCCATTTTTTAGTAATACATTACGTTTATTTTTTTGGAGAAAAAAAATTTCTGAACTATTGATTTGTTTTTAACTTACAAAGTAACATGTTTGAACCTACAGATTATTACATGATTACAAATCCAACTCTCAATTCTTATTTTTGTTACAGTTTCCAAATATTGGTACGTACATGACAAATAAGGAATACAATGTATTGTCCGTGCTTCTCAAATTTTCTTGATAGATAACAGATAAAGCATTTATATATCACGAAAAACGTGTAAAGATTGAAGATAAAACGAAAGACAACTTATGACTGTGACCTGTATAAACTTAACATTGACATTATTTTGACTTGATTTGTTGCTGTTTGTTACCTCTTGAGAACTTGCATATACTTTATTTTTCTTTGTCACTGTTTATGTATAAATGTTAGTTCATTAGTTCTAGATCTCTTCTTATAGATTATAGGAACGCTAAAGGTAACATATATTAAAACATATCATAAAGCTTCAGGATTTTCTCTTTCGATCTGTTTTACATTTTGTTATATCGGGCCTTTGATATTATAGCTTACTATACGGCAAAGCATGATTTGTGCTCTTAGTTGAAGGGCGTACGGTGATCCGTAATTGTTCGAGTCTTTCCTTTGGTCTTTACGGATAGTTGTCTCATAAATAGTTATACCACATCTCCTCATTGTTATATTTTTTCGACGACATAAGTATGATTTGCTGTGCTATTTTTTATAAACTTCAAAGAAAAATGGCAAATGAGTTGATATTCGATCCCGCACACGTTGCTGTAGTTTGCGTTTATTTTGCATCAATATGATTTTTCAATGAAGAGAAAGACGACTGGTCGGCTCGGAGTCAGAATAATGTGTCCGGTTAGAATGGCATATCTTCCTGCAGACTGTTACCTTTTGACCGCGCTGAGGTACGTCCATTATTCATTTTTCATTATTCAAAATTCAATAATGAATAATGAAATAGTTCATTATTCACTATTCAACGTTAAGTGATGAATAATGAATAATGAAATAGTTTATATTTCAGTATTCAAGTTGAAAAGTGAATAATGAAATAGAAAATTTATTTTTTGACTGTGACACTATATCCCGTATTTCTGAATTCTTCATTTTGGTGATATTTAACAAATATTCAATTAATTTAAGAAAAAGTAAATCAAAACACTCGTTGAAATTTTAATCGTTATTAATTTATTTAGTTTCGGAGGATAAACTAGTGGGTTTCCCCAACTATTTTTAACAGAAATTCCTTATTTTAATGTATGGACGACATGAATACCAAAACATATATTAAAATTAAAATACTATTTGTATTATTTTTTTATTTCCACTGGATCTTTGTGCTATTCTTCATCCCCTGATTATAGATATAACTTGTCGATTGTGCCGCAATGCCCATTAGAGGGGTTACGGAGGACCTAAATGCCAAAATAAGCGTGAAAATTAAGAAATAGCCAATTTTGAATAATGAAATGGATATTTTGAATAATGGAATGGACTGCTGCGACCCTTTAACCTCTAATTACAGATATACCTTATACGTCATTCGAAAGCTTATTAAGAGAGGAACAAAAGGTATATAGTCAATATGTTCCGCAACGCCTATTAGAGGAGTTACGGAGGACCTAAATGTCGAAATACGCGTGAACATTAAGAAATAGCTTATTTTGAATAATGGAATGGACTGCCGCGACCCTTTAGCCCCTAATTACAGATAAATCTTATACACCATTCAAAAGCTTATCAATAGAGGAACAAAATGGTTATAATCAATATGTGCCGCAATGCCCATTAGAGGGATTACGGAGGACCTAAATGCCAAAATACGCGTGAAAATTAAGAAATAGCCAATTTTGAATAATGGAATGGATATTTTGAATAATGGAATGGACTGCTGCGACCCTTTAACCTCTAATTACAGATATACCGTATACGTCATTCGAAAGCTTATTAATAGAGGAACAAAAGGAATATAGTCAATATGTTCTGCAACGCCTATTAGAGGAGTTACGGAGGACCTAAATGTCGAAATACGCAGGAACATTAAGAAATAGCCTATATTAATGTTATAACCAATAAAAACAATCTTTAAAGATTTTACTACTATGGTAAATTTATAACCTTAAAAGATAAGTTTGTTGATATGATGAATTAGTTTACATTAATCGTATCTAATTTTACGGGCTTTATAAACAACATCGTCATAACAATTAGGGTGTGATATTCCACTTTTAATAAGAACTCTACAGAATACAGACAGACTTTTAAACTAAATATTCAAGTTGTATCTATGAAAGAATTTAGAAAAGGTTTTAATTAATTTTTGGTAACGAAATCCCTGACTTAATAATCTATTAGTTAATAACATGAATTACGTTCATTGAAATCTAAAACATGACTACATACATGTACAAAGTGAACATATTGTGAAATATACACACCGTAAGAAGGGGCGAAAGGAAAACCACCATCCTAAAGGCGAAATTAACAATTGGGAAAGAAGAAAAATCGTCTCTTTTGTCGTAAATTTTTGTATAGAGTTTCCCGTGTTGAACTGGAATATCCGAATCTTTAACCCATTTCTCTGACGTCATTCTATTGTTCTTACAGTGGATTATTTTTCAAGAATCCACTGACTACTTCGTTAACTTAAGATAACTTATTTTATAACTTTAAACTTTTAACTTACGATTTTTTATCCTCTCAAAAACGAGTGGCATATGAAGGGTTCGAACTCGCGCGTATTTTCTTCATAATCAGTAGAGTCTTCAGTCTATGCATGAAACCACTATACCACGAGTGCTCAAATAAATCAAGATTTAAATAACACTCTTAAAGCGCACAACTGTCAATACATGTCAATAAACTGTATTTCTATCTCAGAGATAATTCGCTTTTGTTATCTAACAAAATATATATACTATGTCTGGATTTGTTCATGTTCTTTTCAAATTTATTTATATCACGTCAACATTGAACGGACTCTAATTTGAGTAAAGTGTGATATATAAGCTACGACCGTAAAACTACTTCTTTGACTGTAAAACCAGAAACAAAATCATCGCCTTTACATGAAAATGAAGTATATAATACCTCTAAGATTAAAACTATTTTTATCGAGAAAAAATTACAATGAAAAAATTTCATTCCGGATACACGGTTCGAACTTTGCACTGTTAATATCACCGTTATGACATTCGTTACCAACGACTAGACGATCACAGCTATGAACAGCTTGATGGTAAGTTTATGAAATCAAGATAATTATTCATTGTACATCCGTAGCAAGAGCAATATGATGGGGATTCAGAATGCGTACCTCAGATAAAACTAGTTTATTTACCGGTGAACGATATATGCCAAATGAAATTATAACGTTAAAATAATCGTTACTTAATGAAACGGAAACAGTTTAAACAGATTTGAATATAATTGTTCAATTTAAATCGTAAGCACAATCGTAATTTTAATACTTTAGGAGAGCAACATGAATTTGAGCATTATGAAATGGCAGATTTATGGCATCTACCTTATCAATATTTTTTTGACTAAGAACGGCTTAACGGTGTTTAGTCTTCAATTAAACAAAATATGTTGCTAAATATTATATATATAAATTTTGAAGGTTCTAAATTTTGGTAATTAAAATTTTTTAACTTTTCAAAACAAGATAAATAAATTCTGTATATTAATATATGTCTTTTTGAATAAATTAAATATACCAAAATCTATTCAATATAAATAATTTGTAATGATTAAACATTAAATGAAATATGTATATACAAAACTAAAATCTGGTGTTAAAAAGGGGAGCTAACACCCCATTTAAGTTATCTTAAACTTATTTTAACTTGTCAAATGTCTAATTATAGATGCGAACCGTGTGGATATAATCATTTCCAGCTATTATAGAATAAAAAAGACAAAATACTAAACTATTTTTATGAAATATCGTTGATTCATTGTCAAAACGTAAAACAGACAGTCGTTTTAATAGAAATGGGTTAAGCTAGAGAATTGATAAGAAGTAGTGGATTCGGAAACGATAATCAACTTGCGACTAAAGTCGCTCGTTGATTATCGTTTACGAATCCACTACTTCTTATCAATTCTCTACTACAGATAAAGAAAAATATTGTTGTTTGTATTAGATTTATTAAATCTAATTACCTTTCGGTGAATTCGATCAGTAAAATTCGAAAATTATGGATTATATAAAGCAAAAATATCACCCATCAGAAGCGGAATTAGGGGGGGGGGGGGGGGGGCTGGGGGCCCGTCCCCTCTTTTTGTTGGAAAAATTTGGTTGATTATAAAGGGAATCACTGAAGCATGACTGGAGTGGGCTCCCTCTTAGGCAGTCAGTGGGCCCCAACTTTCTGGATCCGCCACTGCCAATCACTGTAAATGTTTTAAATTTATCAATTAAATGTAATTCAAACGGATCTTTACTGAGTTTGGCCATAAACTGTGATTCATAACAGTACAACAACAAGTCTTAAAGGGGCGCAGTTGTGTCCATCGGAATACCTACATAATGTCGGTAACCTTTATTGCCGAAACGTACATATGTGTTGTCAAGAAGACAGTTTAAAGCTTTAATCATCTCATCACATCATTCCAGTAAGCATATATAATAATAGAAAAGCAAAGAATATGGGTATCCATCCATGACACAAAATCAGTACATGCATAGCAAAAAAAACCGAACACATTAAAAACAAAGGAACAATGCTTTCATTGATGTTCTTCATCCTTAAATCATAGTGAGGCCTTCAACACGGAGTAGCATATTTCCCGTTTTCATTACAAAAGAACCGTTGTATGATTTGAAGCAATTAAATCTGCTACCATATGGTAATATAGTGTATAGAGTCGAAAATATCATAACTGTCAACCGAATTAAACGGGCCATCAAAAGCACGTAATTTATCCAAAACATCCAAATAGTTTATGATACTCCAAAAAAAGTTAATTGCATTACTTTCATATGCTTTATTACAAAAATTAATAACAAGTTTTGTAACAGAAGTAAGGGGACAAATTAACAGCCAACAACGATTAGAAGTAGAACATTTACTAGAATCCGAGAGGGAACAAAATATGAACGTTTTTTGTTTTGTTTTTTTGTGTGTAGTTTAGGATGTCAATACATAGTAGGGACTTTCAAATTTCAGATGAGTCCTCTAGCTGTGCGGTGGTAGTGACATAGTTATTTACCATTTGACTATGTATGGAGTGTAAGGTCTTGAATTTGAATGAGTAATTTCATTCTTAAGGACTTCCGTGACGTATTTACGTCATACCACCACCACATCGTTGGCTGCTTTGTCGGCAGGTACGAACACAAAATGCTTTGCGATTACTTAAATTTTGTTTTTAGTCCTAGAATTGGAAATATTACTTACTTTTGTTTATTTCTTAATTACTTTCAAAATGTGATATGCGGATATCTACAATATTTAGACATTTTAATATTGAAATATGAATCAAGTGACTTTTTGTCAGATTTCTCTTGTTTACACCAATTTTTACAATAGGATGAAAAAGAATCTTTAATGACCTGACGACACACTTTCCAATTTATTTTCGACGGAAAACAAAATTTTATCTTTTTATCCCGAATGTTTATAACTTATAGGAGCAATAATTTCTATACTGACGTCTTATGTAACTGACGCATAATTAAAAATTAAACTTGTACTGGAGGGGGGGGGCTGGGGGCCCGTCCCCTCTTTTTGTTGGAAAAATTTGGTTGATTATAAAGGGAATCACTGAAGCATGACTGGAGTGGGCTCCCTCTTAGGCAGTCAGTGGGCCCCAACTTTCTGGATCCGCCACTGCCAATCACTGTAAATGTTTTAAATTTATCAATTAAATGTAATTCAAACGGATCTTTACTGAGTTTGGCCATAAACTGTGATTCATAACAGTACAACAACAAGTCTTAAAGGGGCGCAGTTGTGTCCATCGGAATACCTACATAATGTCGGTAACCTTTATTGCCGAAACGTACATATGTGTTGTCAAGAAGACAGTTTAAAGCTTTAATCATCTCATCACATCATTCCAGTAAGCATATATAATAATAGAAAAGCAAAGAATATGGGTATCCATCCATGACACAAAATCAGTACATGCATAGCAAAAAAAACCGAACACATTAAAAACAAAGGAACAATGCTTTCATTGATGTTCTTCATCCCTAAATCATAGTGAGGCCTTCAACACGGAGTAGCATATTTCCCGTTTTCATTACAAAAGAACCGTTGTATGATTTGAAGCAATTAAATCTGCTACCATATGGTAATATAGTGTATAGAGTCGAAAATATCATAACTGTCAACCGAATTAAACGGGCCATCAAAAGCACGTAATTTATCCAAAACATCCAAATAGTTTATGATACTCCAAAAAAAGTTAATTGCATTACTTTCATATGCTTTATTACAAAAATTAATAACAAGTTTTGTAACAGAAGTAAGGGGACAAATTAACAGCCAACAACGATTAGAAGTAGAACATTTACTAGAATCCGAGAGGGAACAAAATATGAACGTTTTTTGTTTTGTTTTTTTTTGTGTGTAGTTTAGGATGTCAATACATAGTAGGGACTTTCAAATTTCAGATGAGTCCTCTAGCTGTGCGGTGGTAGTGACATGGTTATTTACCATTTGACTATGTATGGAGTGTAAGGTCTTGAATTTGAATGAGTAATTTCATTCTTAAGGACTTCCGTGACGTATTTACGTCATACCACCACCACATCGTTGGCTGCTTTGTCGGCAGGTACGAACACAAAATGCTTTGCGATTACTTAAATTTTGTTTTTAGTCCTAGAATTGGAAATATTACTTACTTTTGTTTATTTCTTAATTACTTTCAAAATGTGATATGCGGATATCTACAATATTTAGACATTTTAATATTGAAATATGAATCAAGTGACTTTTTGTCAGATTTCTCTTGTTTACACCAATTTTTACAATAGGATGAAAAAGAATCTTTAATGACCTGACGACACACTTTCCAATTTATTTTCGACGGAAAACAAAATTTTATCTTTTTATCCCGAATGTTTATAACTTATAGGAGCAATAATTTCTATACTGACGTCTTATGTAACTGACGCATAATTAAAAATTAAACGTGTACTGGATTTTTGTATACGTATAAGAAATCATAGGTGGTTCTTAATTGTCAAAATATGGAGGTATAATGTTTTGAACGGTAGAGTCATTAAAAATACTAGAAAAAATAATGTAAATGTATTTTATTCTAAGAAAATACCTTTTATGATCTTTGTTTATTCGAGGGAATAGTCTATGGTGACAAACAGCTGTAATGATACGTGAAAACATGTATATTGGACTAAAACATGATTTTTTTTCAAACTCGTTATAAATATTATGTAATTTACTAATTGGCATATGAACCAGTTTGCACAATAATTGGTGTCTACCATTGTTTTTAAATATATTATATATATATACAAGTCTAAATTGAAAACAACGTTCAAACCTATGATTGCGTTGGATAAAAACCGCAATTTTTTTAAGTGTGCATGCAAAACAAATTTCTTGGTAGAGGGGTCTAAATATTTCGACTCAAAATTCAAGAGTCTATCCTAAATTGAGGTAAATTATATGGCCTTCCAAGTACCGTTTCGATCCCTAGCACCACTAAAGAGACATTAATTGTCGAAATCCGGATATGGTGTACAAATTTTTGCACCTCATGTTTGTGGTTTACCATCTTTTCCGCAAGTTTATTGTTTTCTGTTTGGTATTAAATTAATATTAAGATCCATTTTGTTACATCTGGTGATCAATTTATTTGGCAATCGCCAATGACAGTCAGTAGGGTTTAAGAACATATGTTGTTCTACCTGCTAGTCAAATGCATTTTGTTAAAATATACTTTTTCACTCATTTGGTCTTTTGGAAAATGTTGTTCGTGCTGTATTTAGACCCCTCTACCAAGAAATTTGTTTTGCATGCACACGTATAAAAATTGCGGTTTTTATCCAACGCAATCATAGGTTTGAACGTTGTTTTCAATTTTGACTTATTTATATATATATATATATATATATATATATATATATATATATAAAATGACTGAATAATAGCCAACGATAAATCTTACGGGGCGATGGATCATATAAATGTGATACAGTACACTACAAAATATAATATATAACCAGTCTAAAAGGGTACAACATCACCAAAAAAATGACAATAAACGAACAAATGTAACTATAAATATTTCGGATAACAGATATCCTTCATCAGTATGAGCACGATGTAAAATGAATCAGATAAATCTATTCTGATTATTAAACTATAGCAATCTTGAATTCTATACAATAAAAAAAGTGAAACAGTTTCACCCGAACATCATATGTAGAGACGCTAATAAATTTTTAAAATTTCCAAAAAACGACTCAAAGACATGCCTAAAATGAAAATAGTAATTATTATAATAGTATGAACTGGCACAACTCTAAAATTCCAAAATGACGTCAGTTAAGATGTTACAACAACTGCGTGTAAATACATTCCCAAAAAAACAGCACTGATCGATATAAGCTGGTAAAATATGACAAACAGAGGCTGCGTATTTATCATTCCAAATAAATAGCAGTTTTATAATGAAAAGAAAAAATAATAGTAAATTTGGGCTAAGTTTAAAAAATTGGACGTGGATGCGTACTTGTACATCCCTACCAAATGAAAAGAACCCTGGTATTTAAACTAGTAAAATTCCAAAATATCCAAAAGAATCCTTAAAACTGTAAGAGTCAAGTAAGGAAGCCGGAGTAACTGGAAACAAATGATGTCAGGAAAATGAGTGATGGTAGGGAAAATGAGTGACTCATTCTATGTTTTTTTCATTTATGCCCTCTGGGGAAACTGTCCTTATCTTTCTTATACAAAACCTTTCCCGAGCAAGTCTTTCGGCCCTTGACCAACCCTCGTTGTGGTCTATGATTGTGATTGTAAGGTTTTTGAAATCAGCTTGGGCGTGCCCAGGTGATCTCAAATGACGACTTACGGGGAGGTCGGGCTTGCAGGTGTAGTCACTTCGATGACCATTCTTCATCATGAATGGTCATCGAAGTGACTACACCTGCAAGCCCGACCTCCCCGTAAGTCGTCATTTGAGATCATGTTCTATATCACTCAGAGTATAGACAACCGTTCTTACCACATACCATGTTCTTAACTTAAACGCTATGAATCTAGACAACAGTTCTTACCATACACCATGTTCTACATCGCTCAGAGTGTAGACAAGTCGAATATAAAAATCAAAACAAGTGTATGTCTTAACTTTAAAATAAGTAACTTTGCAATAATGAAATACAATAGACATTGATTAAAACCATAAATACACTTGTACACATGAAATGCACAAAAATATGTTAACACGTAAATTGCGTTATTTATTATATCTAATAAAATGATATATATAAAAAAAAACATGTAAATAATTGAGAGAAAAAATATCAAACATACATTCAAAAGGTACATAACTTAACACACACCAGTATGGACTGATAAAGTACATATAGCTGCAATTTATTTTCAAATATTGAGATCGGTTGCAGATTTGATCGAAAATTATTGATGTATTATGGCAAACTAGTCCTGTAAAAGTCCACTTACATCATAGCAATTTATCATTGCTCAAACGTGAACATTAGATTGGAACTTTTCATTTCATCATCATACAATGCATCAAAACACTCATTTTGCGACACCGTAAACCAGTTCTTCCAGTCTCCTACCTGACCTGCAAGTAATTTTGAAATTAATTCACCTATACATTTGCTCAAAGATATGCATAAATCTGAAAATACTTGAATCTCGGCGGTTTTCTACACACCAATTTATTCATTTTCAATAGTAAATATATATGTATTACTATACAATTAAGATTACTTATAGTCTCTATTTGTACATTCTGTCGATACTAATATTTTAAAATTAGCCATGAACTAGGTTTAAGTTACTACGAGTTGATTGATACTTTGTGGTTTGCTTTAAGAGTGGAGGGGCTTTTTGTAAAAACAATGTGTGTACTACGTGCCGATCAGATGAGTAAAAAAAAGATGCGGAAGGTACCAAGGTGACATTCAAAACTCGTCAGTCGAAGAGAAACTGACAACGCCATTGCAAAAAAAAAAAACACGACGGAAAGAAAAAACAAGTCCACAAAACATTACATAGAAAATTAAAGACTAAGCAACACAAACCCCTTCCACAAACCAGAGGTAATCAAGTTTTTCATGTCAGGGTCTTTATAGCTTACTAAACGGTACTGGTTTTGCTTATATGTGAAGGCCGTAAGATGAATTATAATTGTGATGGATAGTTGTCATATTGGCAACACCGCCACATCTCCTTATTTCATAGAGACAAACAACAACGAACGACATGTAGTTCAGATAAGTGCGTGACTTTGTACGGGCAGAACATGTTGGGGTTACACTAGTTTTACATGCGCAAGGACCCTTCACCTTTGCCTGTCTAGACGTTAAGCCGTAGTTATACTCACAGTATAATTACCAAAAAGGATGACCAATAACTTGAAAAAGGAAATAAAAAAAGTCACATAATTTTGAAAGCAGCGTCAAAATGTGCTCGATATTACAGGAAGCTAGATAAGACATCTGTTAGTTGGTCAAGAAAAAAATAATCAGAAACAACACTGATAGGGTCCATGGAGTCTTGACATAAAATTTAATTGAAATCAGTAGTATTTGTGAGAGGCCAGTAAGTATTTTAAATTGTGATAGCAACGGAAGAAAGATAACTTTTACTGAATTAGTGAGTCTGCCATTAACACACCCCTTGCTGTTGAAAGATATCAGTATTTTTATGTGTTTTAGCTCTATTAACAACATTATAATAAATGGTAGATTGAGAAATACCCTCTAATATTTATCTTTTACGTACAACATCATACTTTTTATAGGGTGTGTATGTGTCACACAAGAATAATAAATCAATGATAACTGCATATATAATTATACTCGTTCATATTAGATGCATTGTTATATCGGATGTGACCTTGAGAGGTCATACCGGTTTTATGTTGCCTCAGAAATTTCCTAGCTCTTTTGACTGATAACCGAATGTATTTCGTATAAATACACGGATATTATCGAGTGCAAAATAACATTCCTTATCGCTTGTTATAATTCATTTCTTCAATGAATACTCATGAAAATATTTTTCAAAAACATAGATATAAATGATATGAACATGTTTTGTCGTGAGAAATATATATATATATCAGTAACAAATCATGAATACCGAAAATTTGTGTTAAAGCATGCGGAAGAATATCTCGAGAGATGATCTGCTATATATATAACTGAACTTTCAGGTATAGAGATATGATTTTTTTTCGGAGACCATCCACCAGAACTTGCGGTCATCCGATGTTCAGTTCTTCAGTACTTTGATTTTTATTATATATTATATATTAAATACCTTTTCGAAATAGGGTTGACTTTCTGTTCTTATCCAATAAAGCTGTATAATCTAATTTGTTGTTCTTCAGCTTATCAAAACTGCATTGATCTGCAACTTCCATGGCAAATTCGTTTTTACATGGCACGTTCAAAAATTCAGCCGTTTTCAATACATTTCCTGTTATATCCTGGAAAAAAGGTCAAATTTTTGAATGATTGTTTTCTTTTGTTTGGGTATTGACAAAAATGTTACTTTCTGTATGTCTGTCAGTCAATATTTTAAAATAACAATTGTCCATCCCTTTGTTTGAAGAAAATTTGAACTTCTAGTAAATTATATGATTTATAGTGTTACATGTAGCAGATTTAATGTGGTTCTATATGAATTCTTATTGTCCTAAGGTTTTAATAATGTATTTTTTCAATTTTTCTATCATTTTTATAGACAAAAGCTGACAATATAAAACTAATTAAAAAAGTCTGAACATCTAATTCAATTCTTTAAGACATAATAGGCTTGTTATTTCATTTTTGTTTTGTATATTTGTTAAGATCAGATAAATATCATTCTTTATATTGACTGCGTAGGTTAAGGTACACAGATATATTTTTTTCTGAGACAAGTTCCTGTGTGGATGATGAATAAATGACAGGGAATTCAACCTCACCGTAATAATTATTATATTGTAGTGATATAATCATTTGTTATCAGTATAATCTGGTTTGTTGTTATATTTTATATTAATATTTGTAAAACAGATCTAATCAGACCCGAAGAAATATGTTTGAGCAGCTTACTGAACATGTCAGAAAATTGACAGAAAGACTGAGCAAAAAAATGATGACTACGCTTTTCAGTTTGGGATCAAAACAAAATGTGTGTTCATATTTCCTCCACAATCATGATGATGCAGAATGAATATTATTTATACAATTGGTTCGTATAATTTAGATAGAACTGTGTTAAACTGTTATTGAATAGAACTGTTAAAATCTGTTCTTGAATAGAACTGTTAAAATCTGTTCTTGAATAGAACTGTTAAAATCTGTTCTTGAATAGAACTGTTAAAATCTGTTCTTGAATAGAACTGTTAAAATCTGTTCTTGAATAGAACTGTTAAAATCTGTTCTTAAATAGAACTGTTAAAATCTGTTCTTGAATAGAACTGTTAAAATCTGTTCTTGAATAGAACTGTTAAAATCTGTTCTTGAATAGAACTGTTAAAATCTGTTCTTGAATAGAACTGTTAAAATCTGTTCTTAAATAGAACTGTTAAAATCTGTTCTTAAATAGAACTGTTAAAATCTGTTCTTATTAATTAAACTCATCAAAGATACCAGGTTTTAAAAAATATTACGCCAGACGCACGTTTCGTCTACAAAATACACATCAGTGACGCTCGAATCAAAAAAGTTAAAAAGGCCAAATAAAGTACGAAGTTGAGGACCAAAAATTCCGAAAGGTGTTGCTAAATACACCAAAGGTAGTCTATTTCTGTCCAAAACTGTTCTAGGGCAGAACTGTCAGGATTTATTCTAGGGCAGAACTGCCAAAAATAACTTTTCCAGGGTAGAACTGCCAGAATAAATTCCAGGGTATAACTACTATCGTGGATTTTAAACAACTATAAAATGCAAACCGGGATAAACTGACATTATTTCAAAACATAGGTACTTTTATATGGAAATGGTAATAAACTTATTAATTTCAATTTAGTCTGAAGGGTTACCGGGCAATTCTATCTGACTAGGATAATTATTTACTTCTTAAATTTTACCCGTTATATGGCAAAATAGTTTCCGTGTAGTTATTTAAAAACAACTAGTAACACCAACTTGAAACATGACAATACTTAACCTAGAATGTTTATCTGTTTTACCTGTTTCATCTCTTCATAATATAATGGCAATATGTTCTTCTTAATATTTATTTCTGTTTCCCAATCTTTACTGAACTCAAACCATCCACCAAACATTTTCACTATAAACAGAGCACATAAAATGTTAAAGCAAACACCGATTTGCTTTTATTCAGTTTTCTCAGACAGAGCGGGAGGATAGAAAATCTAAATGAAAAATCAATATTGGAAAGGAAACCTTTGTACAATAAAACGATCTGAATTGCTGATGTAGGTATGATGTTTAAATTAAATTTTTCAGCACATTAGAAATATTCCGTATTTATACAAGTATACAAACATGACTCAATGCCAAAACCCGGATATATAAAGTTGACCCTTGACCCTTTAAAAGCCCTGCAACTACTCTTTGAGGGGTCCGTATGGTGTTCTGCTGCATGGCAAAATTTCTGCTCCTATCCAACATACCCTCGTTTCAAGTGGTAGTCGAAAGCAGAACTTACCTATTGTGTTAATTTCAATTTAGTCTCGATGAAACAGACGAAAACTATTTTAAAACGATATTAAAACAAAGGCGTTCATTGAAAAGCGAAAGATTCAATTAAAAATTTACCAAATCAATTGTGTACACTAATTTTGAACAAAGACTATATTGCATTTCATAACTCAGAAAAAAAATATGAGGAAAATCCCTGAAACAATTCCGGTAGATTCTATCTGGAAAACAATGTTGCTAAAATGACTTCAGTAAAAAAAAAAACATAGAAGAACCCAGGATTAATTCCATAATGTGAACTGAACAGGCTTATTGTGAATGAAAGCATTGTCTGATGATGTGAAAACTTCCATTCATACTTTAAGCAGACGTATAAGTGTTTTCATAGAGGGTTGTCCTTGTGGGGTATGCTTTCACGTTCTGTTGGAATTGAGACGTTAAATCCGATGCCTCGTGTAGGGAGAGTGGTACACTCTCTGCATTTAAAGAATCCTTGCAAAAACTCTTTGAGAGGTCGGTAGGTGGCCTGTTGCAAGGCAAATTTCCTGTACCTATCCAAGATATTCTCTTTTTAGTGACATTCTATTTCTCACTCTTCATCACGGTCGACCCCCTTTGTAATACCATTCTATTAGATTAATTGTTAACGTGTTCTAGTCCTGAATATGCTTGCAATATTTGTCACTGGATGTAAGTCCAACAACGATAAAAAATCAAACATACATTCTTCAAATGAAATTAAGAATTATGTTAAAATGTATAAACTACTTTTAATGTGTGATTAAAATCAACAAATGGGCAGTAACCATTCATGTGTTGCCCCCAGTTGAAAAATGTAATAGCTCTACAGTAATAATTTAACTTACATTTACCGGTAAATATTTGATCAATAAACTCATTCCATGTAGTACCCTCTTTCATAATTCCCTTTCCTTTTAAATGATTATACATTGACACGTGAAGGTCCTTCGGATTTCTTTGAACGTATACTATCTTTCCTGTTCCGTTTCGCAACTGTTCGGGGAGGTATTTGTACGGTAAATGTGTTATAAGTAGCCTTCTGGAAGGAGCACTATTAATTTTGTCTAATGTGCTAGCTGCTTCAAGCATATTTTCAATTGTATTGTACTGGTTGTATTGTACAGAACCGGAGAGCAGCATCGATAGTATCTCGTGAGTCCAGTGTGTGCCTGCAAATATACAGCTGACTTTTTATTTGGTGAAGTGAATGCAGAATGAATAATTATTTGAACGAAAGAAACTGATATAACTCTTTGAAATATAGATTTAAAATATCATTTGATATGAACAGAAACAAAGGTTTTAATTGTTCTTAAAGCCAATGGTTGAGCTAGAGTTGTTATTCTTTATATGTGTTATACATGCTAAGGAACACTCACCAGCTTTTGGAAAGGAACACAGGAATACGTCTGACTCACGACACTCCATATCTCTTATCTGTTGAAATTTTTTCTCGGGTTCTGGGTAAAGCCCTGGGAAAGGGATCCAGATTAAACCATCATACATAAATGGACCACCAATAAGCTCCATTTTCTTGTTGGTGTCAAGTCTTAAAAACAAAATTAACATCTACTTACTGCTAATACAAACTAAAATATAGCACAGTAAAAACTGAAAACATACTTATTATTACCCATTTGTTTCAGTCATTAAATTAGTTTTGCAACTGTGAAATTGGTCGTTGCAAGTAGTCCAAATAAAACTAAGAGTTAATGCTGATATAGATATCAAATAAATCACACTGTTAACGATAGATCATTCTTCGTGTACTTTGTGATCGCATATCAAGAAAAATGAAATCATCGGACACTATCTATTTTGTCTACTTATGTCAGATTCATTAAAGCATTTATCTTATACTAAGTAATACAAAATTAAAGCTATAAGGAAAGAGAAAAATCTCGTATAAATAGAACTATAGAAAAAAACTTACTTGTTTGCACTTTCCATCTCTAAACATTTATGGTATTCAACAGAAACATGTTAGTGTATTTATATTCTACATAGAAATACCTATGAATGTTACACATGACGTGTACAATTTAAAAGTTCAGAAGGTGGAATGAAATGCGAAGAGTTTATATAGGTTAATAACAAACGATGCTAACCTGATTTTTAGTATCAATGATTAATCGTTTGTGTATATCTATAAAAAAACAGATTTAACATTACAGACTGACAGGGTTACACATTTTATTTCGTCATGCATGTACTTATAATGAATTTACTTTAGATGACAGATGTCTATGTTATGTTATTAATAATAACATATACGCACAAAGCTTAATTCGATTTTATACTATAAATCGATTATTGGATGACGAAATAAAATATGTTACCCTGTCAGTCTGTAATGTTAATATAAAAATAAAAAGATGTGGTATGAATGCCAATGAGACAACTCTCCACAAGAGACCAAATGACATAGAAATTAACAACTATAGGTCATCGTACGGCCTTCAACAATGAGCAAAACCCATACCGCAGAGTCGGCTATAAAAGGCCCCGAAATGACAAATGTAAAACAATTCAAACGAGAAAACTAACGGTCTAATTTGTGTACAAAATAATGAACGCAAAACAAATATGATACACAGAAACAAACGACAACCACTGAATTACAGGCTCCTGACTTATTTTTTTTGTTATATAAATATACACAAAAGATTAAATCATTGATACTATACAATCAGGTCCTATAGGACGCATCTCATTCCATCATCTCATAATTCATTATAAGTACATGCATGACGAAATAAGATCATTGATACTAAAAAATCAGGTTAGCATCGTTTGTTATGAACCTATATAAACTCTTCCCATTTCATTCCACCTTCTGAACTTTTAAATTGTACACGTCATGTGTAACACTCATAGGTATTTCTATGTAGAATATAAATACACTAACATGTTTCTGTTGAATACCATAAATGTTTAGAGATGGAAAGTGCAAACAAGTAAGTTTTTTTCTATGTTCTATTTATACGAGATTTTTCTCTTTCCTTATAGCTTTAATTTTGTATTACTTAGTATAAGAAGAATGCTTTAATGAATCTGACATAAGTAGAAAAAATAGATAGTGTCCAATGATTTCATTTTTCTTATACATGTATATGAAATCACAATGTACATGTAGAATCTATCGTCAATTGATTATCGTTAACAGTGTGATTTATTTGATATATATTTCAGCAGTAACATTTAATCTGATTTGGACTACTTGCAACGACCAATTTCACCTTTGCAAAATTGATTTAATGACTGAAACAGATGGTTAATGATAAGTATTTTTTTACCGTTTTTACTATGCTCTATTTTATTTTGTATAAGCAGTAAGTACATGTAACATAAATCAAGACCCGAAAATATACGAAAAAAATAATGAGATTAGCAAGGATATGTGCTTTTCATTCCGCTATCGGTCATCTTAAAAAATAATTAACATTTTGTCAGTCATTCGACATAAGTTGAAATAAATTGATCATAATAAGTTTTTAACTTTTAGTTTACTTGAAGAATTTACTTTTCTGTAAATAATGTCCATATCTCGATCTTCACATGGGTTTATTCTAAAAATAAATAAGCAGCCAGGAAGGATACACCACATAATAAACTAAATGCAGAAAACAGTTTGACGCCATTTTCAAAATAAAAATCTTGTTGAGTTTTTCACTCCCTCAGGCAAAGTTGACCTTAAATGAATTTGGTTATTTATGTTATGTCCTTCTATGTCATATAGCTGTTAATCATTCTTCTTATTAACATCCCCTGGTTTTCAAATGTTTAAGCTTAATCGTTCCTGAAGAAGGTAAATTGAGAAAAGGTGTTTCGGACACACGAATTTTACAAAGTGTTATTTTCATCAATTATCAAGCAAACTTCATATCAGTGTAGAGTGCTTTTATTTTGAACTTGCATTCACAAATGACTAATAATTAAATGTCTCCTCAAAATCCTAAAATAAATAAGCTACATGAAGACAAAACAAATATCGCACAACGTTGGCCTCATTTGATAACCATGGTTCATAAGGTTGAACGACAATTTGTTATGATATAATTTTAAAGGCAAAACATTCTTGATTCATTTACAAAGGTAGAACAAGTTTTAAACGTTAGTGCATATTTTAATTGCTGAAATTAACGTTTTCTACCAGACTGTTTAAGATAAGTTGTATTCACAAAACTTGTGTTTATCAATTATTGTTGTTCATTGCAGCGCCTCCGCCATCGACGACGAGGGTTTTTTTTAACGACCTTGACTACCCATGAGGGTCTTGCACGGTCGGCCCTGGCTTCCGCCTTTTTGGGCACTTCAATGTAAATAGGTTAGCATTTGATTATTTAGCAAAAATTATTAAACATATATCAAATTTCATTTCAGAGATATGAAAAGCCTTGGAGAAAAAATTAGAAAAATGGGAGGGCCATTTATGTATGATAATGTGATGTGGCCACCTTTTCCGGGATTGTGTCCTGATTCAGAAAAAAAATTCAAAGAAAAACAAGACATGGAATGTCGTGATACTGATGTCTTTATTTGCTCCTTTCCAAAAGCAGGTAATATAAGTAAATACATATATGTATACTAAACCTCAAAAGTTAAGGATCATCAAGACACATTCCCACTGCAATAAGGTAACCAACACAATCTATCTCTTAAAAAACACAGCTGGAAACATTTTAATCTTTGACTTAACTCGTTGCAAAAGTCTATGAAGTCGATACTGTTATAACATTGACGGTACCAATGTTTACTGCACCAGATACGCATTTCCACAATTCATGTCACTTTAGTGATGCTGGAGGCCAACATATTTGAAAATCCAAAATCTAATACAAACGTTGAGTAAGAGCTGATAATACCAAAATGGCAAAAAGTAAAACCAAACCCCGACAACGAGTAACTTGATATGTATGAGAGAGATACATAATTTTAAAATGGCAAATTTCAATAAACCAATACCAGTATTTTCAAACGGTAGTGATCCTTAAATTATTTTGCACAGTCCAAATGAAGAGAGATTGGGTATACGTTAAGACACGAACCAAATAACAAAATACAATTAGAAAAGAGATCTAAAGGTCAACAATAGTCAAATATCGATATATCAAATATATATCAAGAGCTATCTTGTATGTTCAAACAATTTGTCAAAATATGGCACGTAAACGAAAAAAAATCTCATACAATTAATATGTAACGAGCTTTTTTATCCATGCAGATATCAGAATTTTCGGGAAAAAACCTATTTTTTATCAACAAACTTATAAGTCTCTCTATCGAGATACGGCGTTATTTCATAAATCTAAACTACGACAATTTTTGTTTATGATAGGATCAAAGTTCAATCGATAGATCCGTGTTAGAGTCAATGATCAAGCAAAGTTAGTTGATCAATGTATAAACTCGTCAATAGGTAGATTTTATTCCCAGAAAGAATTCTGTTATTAGTCTTACTTAATTATCTGAATCAAATTAATCGCATGCAAATGGTCAGGTATTTATGCAGAGAACAGAACTTGTTATCTTTGCAAGAATTCCATAGAGGATGAGTTTCACTACATGTATCTATTCATATGTAACAATTCAAGAATATAGTCAAACTAAGAAAAAAGCTCGTTCCCACATATTACAGCTGAAATCAAACATAATTTTATGTAAACTAAAGGACATGTCAATGTACAGCTGTATAAAAATGTTGCTATGATTTTTTTTAAATATATATAACAAGTTATTGTAATCTCAATGATTAATGGACTTTTTTTCTGCTAACAATGCATTCTTCAAATTGCATTATTTTTTGTTTTGGTGTTTTTTGTGTATAGTATTTGTCTCTTTGTCACCAATGCAAATATTGTTTTTTTTATGTTTATAGAATTTTCTGTACACTGAGAGTATTTGAGGCTTATAAAGTTTCTTGTCTTGTCTTCATCAAAAGCCCTAACACAATCGAAAACGGTTTAGTGAAATACTTTAATCTCGACAATTTTTTCTATAGAATACTAGACTTCCATCTACAAAACCCTTAATGACAACCTCATATAATGATACCGTATTGAGGAATGGTCACAGTCACTAAAATTAAGCATTAATCTACAGCCATTCAGTCGTACACTACATGTTGATCTCCATATTTGTTTTAGTACGTTTGCTAGAATGTGTTCCTTTTAAATATCATTTTTGGTGTGTGTTGTGTAATTGGATCGCTGTTGATGTATATATGAAGACGAAGAGAAAGTGATTGCCTTCACGAAAACGAGTAATGGTACAGATATATAACAAAGTCAAGATCGTTTTGGATACTTTGTTGATTTTAGCAGCTATATCATATTCAGAAAAAGTTAGACTGACTTATTCACTAATTTGAGATTTTTTTGTAGGAACAAACTGGACACATGAAGTTTTATCCATGTTAATTTCTCAGTCGACAAGCTACAACTTATGGGTTGAACAAAAAGGCCTTTTAGAAATCTGCGACCCATTAGATATTTTAACTAAGATTCCATCACCAAGACTTTTCATGACACATATGCCATATCGATACCTCCCTAGTCAGCTTCAGAACGGAAAAGGAAAGATAGTGTATGTTCAGAGAAATCCTAAAGATCTCTTCGTTTCCTTGTATAATTTTGAAAAGGGGAAATCAGCTATTGGAAAACATTTGTCGTGGGAGGAATTTTTTGAAAAGAAGGTTATTAAAGACGAAGGTTTGTACACACGACTTATATAACATAATAATTCAACTTCATTCACCACAAATGTCAGAAATTTGTTTCTGAATGTAGTGAAATAAAAAAGCGAAATACTGGAGAGTACTTTAATTTACACCAATGGACATTATTTACAGTAACAATACGAAAGTGTATATGATTTTAACGTTAACTGTGTCCATTCCAAATATGTCAGCTAAATTACTGCAGATCGAATACAGGGCTTTTTAAGAACTTAACACTGTAAAACTAAAATACAGACTTTTACGTAAGGCTTTGAATTAATTACTATTTCAATGAATTCTAGGTACGAAA